GTTTCCACGGAAACCTCTTGGTAATGGCAAAAGCAATGGTGACAGCAGGATTAAAATGGGCACCAGAGATGTGACCAACAGAGTAAACCATGACCATCACAACCAGTCCCCAAACAATTGAAATTCCTGGAAACGACACCGTCTTATCTGTGCTCAAATTCACCACCACAGCCCCACAGCCTGCAAATACCACGAAGTATGTACCCAACACCTCAGCAATCACCTGTCCCATAAAAGATTTCCACTTTATTATTCAACAATTTCCAAGCTTTTTTCTTCTTTCTGCATTTGAGTTTAATATGACACAAAACTTGGAGAGATTAATTGGTGGCGAGGATAAGCATCAAAGCATTTCAAATGGTTTTGAAACTGAAACACAACATTTGCAATTGAGTTTGAGCCAAAAAGTAACTGAAAGAAAAATAATTTAAAGTCACCTTCTGCATGAAAGGCACAGAGAGACCAAAACTGCTTGATTCTTGGTTGGTTTTGGTGGAAGATTGGGAAGGTCTGTGACCGTTGCCATCACCATCTTCAACATTCAAAGCATGGGTTCCGTTACCATTAGCTACTGAAGTCTCAGCCATGGCTTAAACTTAAAGCACAAAGACTAGCTGAGAGAGAAGAAGGAGAGAGAAGAAGGAGAGAGCAAAGGTGACCCGAAAAGGAGAGATTGCTTCTGCTTTCTCTTCCAACCTTGGAGTGAGGAAAAAACCCTGCCAGGACAACTCAATTTATGGGATCCATAAAAGTCCAGGAAGAGAGAGAGAGAGAGAGAGAGAGAGATGTTGACTAAGATGAAAAGGATAGGCCTTTTATGCTCTTGTTGGTTTCTTTTTTTCTTTTCTTTTTTCGTTGTTTGCTTTAAATGACAACTTCCATAGTAGATATCGTTGAAAATGTCGCATGTATAGCTTGTGAAATAGCAAAAGGGCATTGAAAGCTGCCTCAACCACCCGCCGGAAATACAGAGTGGACATGAATGGCTTTTCGTAACTTTCCTAAAGCGCTTTTAATTCACAACCTTATAGAGCTACCACATTATTTGCCAAGTCTTTGAAACATGGAGTTGGTTTTGCAAGACTTTAGCAACAAAAGGCCATGTAGGGACTTCTTCTAGACATAAATCATGCCGGGAGGCATTTTTGCTCATCATTTTAACCCAAGATGTATGCTCACCACCCTTTTCAACACTTGACACGTGTCTATAAGCATAACCATGGTTATATAAATCAAAGTAAAAAGTTAATAACTATGATTATGTCTATGAACACATATCAAGTATTAAGAAGAGTGGTGAGAAAATATTTCCAATCATACCAGTCTCAGTTGGCAACCATGCAAAAATAGAAAATGTTCATGTCAATTTGGTTGTTCAGAATATTTTCCCACTTATGGTTAATAGGTTGGATAAGATTCAACAAAATTTAGTTTCTCTTATTCGTTTGGTATTCATCAATTATTTTGCATAAGAATGTTGAACTTAAATGACTCCAACAAAATTCTCAAAAAGATTAATGAAAGTACCTTAATTAATAACTAAATTAAATTCAGGAGGACTATACTTCCTTTTATTCCTAAGCAGTGCAACTAAACCTAAAAAAATGCTAAACAACAAAAAGACAAATGCAACCATTCGGCTTGGAACAGAGCAAGACAGAAGTATACTTTCCAAATTAACAAGAAATACTTGTTGTTTTTTTCTAAATAAAAAAATAAAAATTGATGTGCATATATCAAATCAAAGTAATGTGCTGTAAACTTTTTCCTAAAGGACTATTCGAAACCGCGAGAGATATGCAATTAAAAAATTCATGAGACGGTGAAAGATTCTGATTTGTGATTCCCTCAATTCAATTTTACTTGCTAATTTGTCTTCAATTGGTTTTAACACTTTGAACCAAACAAAGGGTCATTTTAAGATGAAAAAGGCCAAAGGGCCATCACATTTCATCTTTAAAATAATTGCATTAAGGACTCACTAGTGTAGTGGTTTAGAGCAATTGCTCCCTCAGACAAGGTTCTGAAGTTCGAGTCCTAGCATCCGTGTAGTATATGTGAGTTTAGTATATTATCGCCTCATTCATTAAGAAAAATCCTCTATATATAAAAAAAAAGAATGAAACAATTATGATCTCAGAACTAGTCAAAACACTACCTTGCCAGAAGTACCTTTTAATTATCCAATGATGATGATAAAGTAATTAATTAGGAAGTTGATTATTTTTGCATTGACCTAAAAAATCTGATCATGCTGGAGTTTAAGTATCAATAAACTATTCATTAGTGCAGGCTAACATCAACTTCTCTTCAATCTTCCACTGAATTCAAAAGAAGAACCATGAATGATGAAGCAGAGAGAAATCTGATACCAACCAATAAATTGTTCAATGCGCATGCAAGATCCAACCTCCCACTATTCACTATTTCAACACCATTCTTCATCAGTCTCCATACCCCATTTGGTTGTGATGGTTGTTTTTTCTGGTATTGTTCATGTAATCTTATTCTTTTCACACAGGATTTCACACTTTTATTTTAAGATATGGAAATTAAATTCTTTTGACCAATTCATGGAAAGTGAAAGGTGATAACAGAGGATAATAATAATAATTCATGGAGACATGCTCTGTTATCTTACTAGAAAGCTTTTTATTGTTTTCAGTGGCAGGCAAAGACCCGACCTGAGTAACACTTACTGCATTAATTTATGAAGAAATTTGTTCTTTTCAACTACCAAGATACTATACTCACTGCGTGGTCAAGTCATTGCTTGCTTGTTGTGCGTATCATTTTCAGCCTCATTTTTAGGGCAAGCAAATGTACTTCCAGAAAAGTTTGGCCAATACAAACGTGTGATCAACTCATTTTTCTGCGTACTTTTTAGTGATGTCATTCTTATGCTTTGCTTTCCTCATATATATGTTTTTTAAATCTTGTGTTTCGGTAATAAGACCGATTTCATTTTATTCCGATCCAACTTATTATGGCTAGGTATCAATAAGCATGCCATAAGTTTTGAGAAATTTTAAGCGTAATCGGTTGTATAAAATCACATATATATTTCTCTCATCGTGTGACAAAATGAGGCTTATATTTTCTACACAAGCTTTGTTTAGTACCACTTGGTATGATGCTGAAGGCCTTCTTTATTTCGTATGGGCTAACATTCAGAGGCCATAACATTTGCATTGTGGTGTCGTGTTGTGGCCCACGATTGAGAGGTTTTATTTAAGAATTTCTAAATGCACCCAAATACTGGAGCAGTGCACTAATCACTCACTACACCCAAATTTCATTTTTGAAAAACCGCATTTTTTGGCCTTCCAAATCCTGATTTATTCTCCATATCCTACCAAATTTTAGAATACTAAACTAACCCTTACATTGTTATTTTATTTATGCTCACTAAACCATGGCTGGCCCAAAACTTTCGTCCGAGCCTCCTATTCCCTCTTTGTTAATTATAAAATATGATTGGCCCAAAATCGATTTCTGCTCGTTCAAATTACTTGGAAAGCTTTACTCATGTCTGCTATATTATTATTACTCCCTTTAATCAAAAATATGGCGGAAGAATTCGTTATTACTAAAAGTGACATAGAATAGAATGAAGTTAAGTAAGGTAACATAGAAAAGTCAAAACATAGCATCAGTAAGGAATCCAGCAATCAACGGAATTAGGCAAATAAGGGAATGAAAGTCAAAATTCAGATATTGAAATAGGTTCTAGGTCCAAATTAATTTTATCGATATAGAAAGAGGTTCTAAGTTCAAATTCTCGTTCCGCATTCGTATGAAGAAATGTGATAGACTGTTGACTGTGATAACCATTTTACTGGTAGACTGGTGCCTTCACTTGTAACTAACCAGCTGGTTAATTAACTAAAACGAAAATAACCGTCCAACAATGCCTTCAATTCTAACAGTAAAAACCAATATCTAAACAATATTATAACCGCAGCTCAAACAAACTCACCCTCACTTACCCCTAACCATCCCAACCATCTCTCCTTTTGTTACAACCTTCACTACCCGCCGTTGCACCCACCATAAATTTAAAACTCACCCCAACAATTCTCAACAATTCAATTCAACTTCTCCACCATTTTCAATTTCGACATTCAAGCAAACAGCCAACCAAAGAAATATGGTGTCCAGGATTCGCAAGAAAACCCCCAGCACCAACAAGCTCATGCCCATCAAGCGCTGCCGCGGCATACGGCGGCACCACTGCCGCAACTGCTCCCTGAAAAAGTCGACGATTGCCCCCTCCACCGTCGTGCTGACCCGTGTCGGCACCAACAAAGCATTCAAGGTCCTCCACAAACCCCAGTCCCCGGAGACCCGACCCGAAACCCAGGCCCGCTGCCCACTCCCGCCTCTAGCCTCGCCGGAGAAACGGACAGTGTGTCTGGACCTCGACGAGACCTTGGTCCACTCCGTGACGGGTCCGCCGCCCAAGAACTTCGACTTCGTTGTCCGGCCGAATATCCGCGGCAAGGTGATGACTTTCTACGTGGTGAAACGACCAGGCGTGGACGCGTTTTTGGAGAGGCTTGCGGCGCAGTACGAGGTGGTGGTGTTCACGGCGGGGCTGAGAGATTACGCGACGCTGGTGCTGGACCGGCTGGACCGAAAGCGCCTGGTCTCGCACCGGCTCTACAGGGACTCGTGTAAGGAGATGAGTGGGAAGTTCGTGAAGGACTTGTCCGGGTTGGGGCGGGACTTGAGGCGGGTGGTGATTGTGGACGACAATCCCAATGCTTATTTCCTCCAGCCAGAGAACGCAATCCCCATCCGCCAGTTTTTCAACGACCCAGCGGACCGGGAGCTCTCGAGGTTGCTGGAGTTCTTTGAGGACGAAGAGTTACGTTGTTGTGAGGACATTAGGGTTGCTGGGAAGAAGTTTGTTGGTGACGATGGATTGATGTCGTCTGATGATGACGACGACGACGATGATGAGTTGGAGGAGATGAGTGATGCTAAGGGTAAACCTACAGTTTCGACGCCGTGTTCTGTCATCAGTGTCCATAGAGTTCGCCCATTTGGGCCGCCAGTTTTGGAGTGGGGGACAAAGATGGTGATCGTGTGCAGTTTGTTTCTGCTAATTCTTAATGTAATCGCGTGCTTTCGCACAGGATTTCATCCTTTTTTTTAACATTGAGAAATTAAAGAAGATATATATATTTTGTTATGAAATGGAACAGTTTTTGTAAGCTTTGATGATAATCAAACATTTTTTTTGTTTCTTTATAACATGTTGCATGAAAACAGCAAGTCTTACGTAAAAGGTGTCATCGGTCGGTCTCTTTGACAATTGATACTTGTAAACTGATAGAACATCAAGAACGTGGACAATCTAAGAAGCCTTGGAATGAAACTGAAGTAAAATGTCTAAACTTCTGTTGGAGTTGGAAAATTATCATCCTGTCGATCTTCTATTATCCAACATGATGATAATTAATCTTCCATTGCATTAAGCTAATTAACAACCACAATCAACTTTCACTCAAATGCAACTTTTCAAAATTGTTGTAAGTTTGGCCTTCCCATTAGATCGGCCATCCTTAAAATCCGTTAAGTGATGGGATGTCGAAATGGAGGTATGGTCATGTTAAGCTTGTTAGAGATGAGAACTGGGAAGAACGGTCGGTAATTCATTAACTCACTTAAAAACATTTAAATTCATGAGTATCACTCAAGGGTTTTTGAACAAGAAATAAATAAAAATCCCAAATTTGCAGTTAAGATCTTAAAAATATTTCTCTCTGTCAAATAAACATGAAAGAAATGATTTTGGGATTTCTTAAAATGAGATATTCGTTTCCAATTGGAAATTATTTTACATTTATTTTTCTCGTTTATTTTAATAAAAATAATAAAGGCAATCAAAATATAAAGCATTGAAACATAACAAAAATATAGAACCTTCTTTTAGAGAAGAAAAACAAATGTGGAAGGTTCTCAGAAATAACAAATAGGAAGGCGAATTTAGGGGAGTTGGCAAAAGCTGTAATTTTGCACTGATAGTGACGCGTTCACTTCAATCTAAAACCTGCCATCCAGCCAATCCCCAATCCTAATCATCCTTCAATTTTCACACTTATCCGAACCTAAACCAATAACCACTTGTCCTCAGCTTCGGTTCCGAACCTACACTGACGACCGTTACACCGAACCTAAGGTTTAAAAACTCCCCTTTTTCTCAAATTCCACCATTTCAAACTCCACACCCCTCTCTCTCTCTCGCTCTCTGTCTTGATTTCTGATCAAGATTTTGAAGAAGACAAATTGGCAAGCGAGAATTTGAAGAAATGGTGTCCAAGATTGTGAAGAAGAGCGCCAACAGGCGGCGCACCCGCGGCAAGTCCTCGGCGAAAAAGGCGGCAGCCTCGGCCTCCTCCGCTGTGCTCTCCTCGATCTTCACTTGCCAGCGCCGCCTCATCAAGCTCTTCACCAAGCTAGCGCGAATAGGGACCCCCAACCGCCACAAAGGCTTCAAGATCCTCAAGAAATCCCAAATCCACGAGCCCGAACCCGGATCCGAAGACCCGATCCGACGCAATCTTTTCTTCGACACCCTGCTCCCACCGCTGGTCTCTGCGGAGAAGCGGACCGTGTTTCTCGACCTCGACGAGACATTGGTTCACTCTCAGGCCGAGCCGCGGCCGGAGAAGTACGATTTCGTCATTCGGCCGAATATCGACGGCGTAGCCATGAATTTCTACGTGCTGAAGCGGCCTGGTGTGGACGAGTTGTTGGAGAATCTTGCAGAGAAGTACGAGTTGGTAGTGTTCACGGCCGGGTTGAGAGAGTACGCGTCCCTGGTGCTGGACAGGTTGGACCGGAACCGGGTCATTTCGCACCGGCTCTACAGGGACGCGTGTAAAGAAGTGGATGGGAAGTTGGTGAAGGACTTGTCCGGGTTAGGGAGGGACTTGAGCCGGGCGGTGATTGTGGATGATAATCCAAATTCGTATTCTTTACAACCGGAGAATGCCGTTCCAGTCCGACCGTTTGTGGATGACATGGCGGACCGGGAGCTGAGGAAGTTGATGGAGTTCTTTGATGGGTTGAATTGTGATGATATGAGGGATGCTGTGAAGCAGTTTGTTGCTGCTGCTGGTGGCGGCGGAGCCAAAGTTGATGAAGCAGTGTGAATTGATTTGCTGTCTGTCTCTGTTTTGTTGTAAAGTTGAACAAATATGTTCAATTTGTTCGTTAATTTTAAAGGTGGAAAAAGAGGCTCATCTTGTTCGCCGCGATTTGATTTGATTTGTAAACCTAGTTCAGTTGCTCAAATAATATGTTTGTAGTTGAAATTGTTTGACGATTGTGAGTTCATTTGTTTCTTTTCATTAACTTATCAGAAGAATCGTTGTCTTGATGCGCAGTTTATTGCTGCAGATGCAGTGTTTTGGTTTTAAAAAACCGTTTATTGCTTGTTTTTTCTTTTCCATGCTTGAATTTGAAACAATTCTTGATACTAAGTACTATGTGGGACTGCATTGGTTTCTTCTTTCTATATGTAGGAAGACATTATTTTGTTGAAAAACCCCACGTTCTTCTCCAGCAATTTAGCTCTTAGATCCCGGGTTTTATTGCTAACCCCACATTTTTGTGTTGTTATTTAGCTTAATCACTAATGCTACTTGCTGAAATCCCAGACATAATACTTCTAGAAGGTCCTGACTCCTGAGAGTAAGGGCAAAAGAAGAGGATCTCAACTCCATTCGAGCAACCGGATCTGTACTCATCATTTTGGTTTTCCCTTCTTCCCCAACATCCAGCTATACAAACTAAACTAAAGCCATAACATTCATGGCACACCCCATGCATATCTGAGTTGCATCTGAGAGCAGCAACCTTATTTTCTCCGTACTTGACTGTTCTCAAGTGGAAAGTTCCTAGACATGGTATAAAAAACCAAGCTCTATCCCCACTGTGTAGGGTTTAGGAACTGTAATACATTTATTTTTGGAGTGCAAGAGATTACATGAGGAGTTGTATAGTATCACCCACACCACGTGACTTACAGGATATAACCAGTGGTGCTGTATGCTGGGAGGCTGTGGTTGCAGAGTTCCAATCTAGTTGGTTGCAAGTTGCAAGTTGCATACAAATTTTATCAATGAAAAGAACAATAAAAGACCCCCCATCATCTTCTTCAGGCGGAGCTGCGAAACCCAAAGAAACGATTCAAAAACGTAATTGCTCTACACCTGAACCTGAGGGTTTTTTGCACAACAAAGTGGCCCTTGCATATTATCTTGTTGCCGCTAACCCTTGTCCAGTTGTCCCATTACCTTGCATGCCAGGCTTCATGCTTTCTTCTAGGTTTCCACGGATCACTCACAAAACTTACAAGCAAAATGTACTAAGTTGATTTCCTTTCACATTGTACAAGCACAACTTACAAGCAGGCAGCTATATTTTTTCCTCTAATTTATAAATGTACAAATCATGCATATGAAAATGAAACACACACAATTTTGCAAAATGTGCCTCAATTCCTAAGGCATGGATATGATGATCTTAAGCTACTTAAACTACTTTTGAGGCACATGTATTAAGCTTAATCTTAGGCTGCTCAAGCTTAATCCACTTCCTCTGATACTTCAACTTCCCATTCTATTAAACCCTAATCCTTAGCTGGGAAAAACACAATCTAACCTTCAACAATCACAACTTCAACTACAGTCTATCAAAAGAATCAGATCTTCAATTGAAGAACAGATCAATTTCAATTCACAACACATCATTTACAGATCACAAGATGCATAATTCCCTACTCAACAAACAACAACAACAACACACAAGCATTGATTTGTGATTATAAGTGGAAAAATATTTAAAAGCAGCTGACTTTAACTTAAAATCTACTCAAGCTAAGCTTTCTCATGATTTCTGTTGAGACGACTGTAGTCAATTTTGCAAGAGAAGACCTGTGGGGGTAAGCGCAAAGCCTCGAGCTTTGGGAAGCACATGTCGTTGAGGACGTCGCTGCGGCACCACCGGCACTTTGGGTTCCGGGAGCACTGTGACTCCGACGACATGTCGTTGCAGCTCGGGATCTGGTTCTGACTGCCGTTGTTCCTCCTTTGAGTGCCCAACAGGTCGCGACCCGGATGGATCCGAGACTCAGATCCACGGCAGGAGCCGTAGAGGCTAGCTAAGAGGACCAGGACCAGGACCAAGCTCGCCACTTTATGACTCGGACTCGGACTCTGGAACAGGGTTGCCATGGGTGACCCGCTCAGACTCTGCTAGTGGCTTCTAAGACAACACCGTTCGTCTCTGCCGGTTCGCTCGCTGCGATGTTAGAATAATGAGGTAAATTTCACATATATCATTATTATTTTCAATTTCTTGTTAATTTCATGCTCAAATATATTTGTTAATAACTAAAAAATGGAAGGTAAGATAATACTTAAAATAACAACCAAAGAAGGTGTCAACAGAGTCTAGTCCAATAAAAAATGACATTGACTTGCGGACAATAGGTCTCAAGTTCCAACTCCTATGACATCTTGAATGTGTGATAAATCTCCTCCCTCACCATGTGCTTGTAGTTTGGAGCAAGATATAAGTAGTCTATTATCTTGCAAATCACTAATGTTGTAAACAATTCTTGGCGATGAAAGAAATCGTTTTTGCTTGTTTAGATTATGTTCATAAATATAATAGAAATTTTTTCCATTTTCTATGTTTTATGTTGCTTTTTGACAAATTTTTAGGATTGTAAAATGTCATATTATTTTACTGGATTAGACCTCGTTAGTAACTAGATATTACTTAACTTTCAAAGAATAGTAATTTAGCAACTATGTTACCAACATATTTTCCAAAATTAAGCTTTGCTTTCAACAAATATTTTTTTATTTTTTATAACTTTGCTAAAATTGTAAGATAACACTGCAACACATGCTTATTGAGTTTTCTTTTGGAAAAAGAAAGACAAAACTTATTTGATGAAAAATGAATAATGATTAATTGAATAAAACTCTAGCAAATGAAGTAATTAGAAATAGACGAAGGAAACGTTTGAGAGACGAAGACTGGCCGACACGACACAGCTTCATCCTCTACTATAAGCAATTCATGTTTTTTCTCCAATCCTATTTCTATTCTATCCAAAATAATAAGAGCAATAATAATTGTGTTTTGCAATTTGTTTTCGTCACAATCCCTCTTCGTCCTCACGGAATTAGTTGCGATTGTTCCTGAATGATTAGTATACTCCGAAGAAGAACATAAAGATCGAAGCTTTGATTTGGTTAAACTAATGGAGGGGCCCCATAAACTCGATTCTGAGGTTGAGGCCGAGGCTTTGGCTTCTAGGGTTTCGGATTTCTCGCTTCAGGAAGACACCCTCCACCCCACTTTCCAATCTCCGCCGGTAATATTCATCTTCTCTCTGCTTCTCTTGATTTCATTTATGTGAGTGTGTTTAAGTTTTGAATTCTTTTGTGGGCAAAGAATAATTTTTGGGATTTGATCATACTCTATATGTGTATATCTTGACGTATTCGATTATCATTCTGTTAAAGTCCCAAAATTGAGCTGGTGTTGCCTCACCTATGAGAACAATTAGGGTTTCTTTGTATGTTAGTGTGTTAAGTTTTGAATTCTTTTGTGGGCAAAGAATAAGTTTTGGGATTTGATCATACTCTATATGTGTTTATCTAGACGTATTCGATTATCATTCTGTTAAAGTCCCAAAATTGAGCTGGTGTTGCCTCACCTATGAGAACAATTAGGGTTTCTTTGCGATTCAGAAGTAAAATTCAATCCGGGGAAATGGGAAGGTACAGTCTTTCGGTGGCATGGTTTCAATTTTAGGGCTTTCTCCAAAAATTAAAAAGAAAAAAAAAGGTCTTTCTGTTTTAGTTTAGTTTTTGTGTCTGCGGCCTGTAAGCATTGCTTTGTGCTTGCGGCTTGGCAAAATTTTAATTGCTACCTACTGTTTTTTTTATGGACACTATGATGGAGGAGTTGAAAATCATAGAGAGCAGAAGCATAATGATGACCAAATAATGACAGAATCTAGAGAATGTGACTCTGAGTTACATGAGAAGGAAAATGGGGAGCAAAGAAAATACTTTTATTATGATGCTCCACTTTCTGAGGAAACTGGGGTTTGGATACCTGTTTCCGTTCCGCCTATGTGGGAAACTGAGCATGAAGAGTGGGCCAAAGGTCTCTATTCAAATGGGGGATACTTTCCTGACGGTGACATGGGTTGGGGCCAGTATATTGGGGAAGAGAAGGAGCTGACTATGTGGGATGTGATGGTAGAAATGCTGCTTGCAGCCCGTGGGAAAGTAAGTTCAATTGCTTCAGCTGATATGTATGGATGCAAACTTTCATGGATATCGGATAATCTCCTTGACCAGGCTTGGAAAGAAATGGCCCAAACACTCACAGATGCAAACTTTGCTAATGTAAGAGAACTTATCGAAGCAGAGCCACCAAAATGGTTGGCTGACAGTTCTGCATCTGCTTGTATGCTCTGTGGCGTGCATTTTCATCCCATCATGTGTTCTAGGCATCATTGTCGGTTTTGTGGAGGAATATTTTGTGGTGACTGCTCTAAGGGAAGGAGTTTGATGCCGGCAAAGTTCCGTGTTGCGGATCCCCAACGAGTCTGTGATGTATGCTGTGTACGACTTGACTCGGTACAGCCGTACTTAATGGACCAAGTAAGCCATGCAGCCCAGATGCCAACCCAGGATCTTACAGACCTTAGTACTTTGCGTTCATGGGTTAATATTCCTTGGGGACAATCCATGGAGTATGAGATATATAAGGCGGCAAATGCAATTCGTGTTTATAAGAAGGTAAGACTCTGAAGTGTCAAAACTGTTGAACATGTATTGTTGATGCCTCTACTGCTTTGATAGCCAGTGAGCTACAGTTTTACCTTAAGAACGTATTTGCCTTAAGTTTGAATTAAATCGAGAAGGCCCAATATCTTAGTGACCGCGTTGCTTTGGCTTGAGAACTTATGACTTAAATAAATGTGCGCAAAAATTAGCCCCTGTATGGATCATAAATTATAGTGGGAGAAGAATTCATGAATTTGGTTATTTAAAGAATAAAATCGGTCTCTATGATATTAACATGTACTCTTAATTTCTTAATGAAAATGTTTTTCTAACTGGCATGAATATTCTATAAACGCTACTCATGGAATTAATTGTTCAGGTATGCTCCCTAAAACCTGAGAAGTCAATTCCGGATGCCATTCTAAGACAAGCAAAGGGCCTTGCAATAATCACTGCTGTGAAAGTTGGAGTTATGGTTACCTACAATATAGGTACTGGAGTCGTGATTGCTCGTAGAGAAGATGGCTCTTGGTCTCCACCATCTGCTGTTTCTACATTTGGTATAGGTTGGGGAGCACAGGTGCAATATTTTATTTATAACAACTTTGACATTTATTCTCCAGTTTGACAATTTGCAACTACTCTGACAGAAATAACCATTGCATATGTTTTTTCATGTTTAGTCAAATGGAGGAACAACAATAAGACTAAAACAGTTTTTAGAAAAATATTGATTGTACCAAATCTATAAAGTTTTTGCTGTCTATATCAATTTTAAATTGAATCCAAAGTTTCCTATTTGATGCAAGTTTAAGAAGTTTGAAATGTGATATTATTAAGTCAGCATAGCAAAACCTTCCCAGTCTCGGTATGTGTTTTGTATATATATGAAGACTTAAAATCCCATGCCCTCTTTTTTGTTGCAGGCTGGAGGGGAGTTGACGGACTTTATCCTTATTTTGAGAACAACTGAGGCTGTAAAAACATTCAGTGGTAATGTGCATCTATCTGTAGGAGCTGGCTTGAGTGCTGCAGTTGGCGTTGTTGGAAGGGGAGTTGAAGCTGATGTTCGAGCCGGTGATGGTGGTTACGCTGCTTGTTATACATACAGCTGTAGTAAAGGTGTCCTATTTTTTCCAACTTAATATGCATTTCTGATGTTATACCTGATTTTTCTTTATATTTTCATTTTGAGTAGTTTCCGTATAAATAATACCACATTACATCATCAATTATTGCAATTGCAGGTGCATTTGTTGGATGTTCACTTGAAGGTAGTATTGTAACCACCCGCACAAAGGTGAATTCTCGATTTTATGGCAGCCAGTCAATAACTGCATCAGATGTACTTCTTGGCTCGTTGCCCAGACCACCTGCCGCTGCTACCCTCTATCGTGCCCTCGCAGATCTATATCAGAAGATTGAGGGGTGACAAAGTTGAGCACATCCCTGGATTACTTGGTAAAAGTTACCTATGATCAGGGGGAAATGAATCTTTGAAGTTTGTATGTTCTGTGCATATGCTTTGAAGCTTTCAGTTGCTGCCATTCTTTGCCCATGAAACACTTCCTGGGACATAGCATGTACATGGAGACCACCGCAGTGTATATATACTCATGCCGTCTCGATTTCTATTTGTAAATGACACATTTGTTCTGGACAAAAGCCAAAACTCATTGAAAAGTATTCCTTAACAAAGGAAATCAGAAAAGTAAATATGGTACTTTGTTAGAAGACTTGTTTTGTGACTGGAACGTCTGGTTTTGTTCCGGACCATAATGCGATCATGGCAGATGGCTTTTGTTCCCCTCCCAAAGACAAATAACGCATAGAACAGGTGGAAATTAATTACCTAATATTATGAGCACATCTCAATCTAATGAAAAAGTTGTTAGACTGTAAAGGTTGAAATTTGTAATTTGCGTTATCTCCATTTTTCTCGCCAAAAGAGTGGACTCTTCCATCTTTCGAAACTAGGCGTAATAAGAGAATAAGACAGAAGTGTGTGTGGGTGAAATCTAGATGATGGCCTTGGCGAGCGACGAAGAAGACAGGACTTTATTTGACCTGATGCTAAAATGGAGCAGAATTCAAAGGAAAGAGAGAGAAATGTAATTATGAAAACTCAAAACGCTTCTGCATTTCCAATGTATATTAGTTCTCTTATAAAAACGTTGCAGATAAATTGGTCTCTGTTGGCCTCACTCAGTCCCTCGGAAAAATCCTCCCTAATATTGTTCATGAAGCCACCGCCTTCATGGATAGCACATGCAGAACAAGAACATAAAAAACGAAGCTTGATTTGGTTAAGCTAATGGAGGGTCCCCAAAAGCTCAATTCTAAGGTTGAGCCCGAGGCTTTGGCTTCTAGAGTTTCGGATTTCTCGTCCCTCCACTCGAACTTCCATTCTCCGCCGGTATTTATTCTCCCTCGGTTTTTCTTTTCTTTTTTGAATTGGGTTTTCTTGATGTTATGTGTTTATGTGCATGTTTAACTGGATGTGATCATGTGAGTATTGCTTTGCGCTTGTTGGCAACTTATAAAATGGAGCGTTTGAATCTTTTCAAAATTGGATAGCACACTGTTTTGTTTTGTGGATGACAGAATGATGGAGGAGTTGAAGCTTATAGAGAGCAGAAACAGGATGATAATGATGGCCAAATAATGGCAGAGTCTAGAGAAGATGACTCTGAGTTACAAGGGAAGAAGAATTGGGAGCAAAGAAAATACTTTCATTATGATGCTCCACTTTCTGAAGAAACTGGGGACTGGGTACCTGTTTCTGTTCTTGTGGGGGAGCCTGAGCATGAACAGTGGGCAAACAGTTTCTGCTCCAATGGAGCATACTTTCCGGACAGTGACATGGGCTGGGAACAGTCTATCGGGGAAGAGAAGGAGCCTACTATTCTGTGGGATGTGGTGAAGGAAATCTTGCTTGTAGCCCGTGGGAAAGTACGTTCATTTGCTTCAGCTGATATCTATGGATATACACTTTCTGGGAGATCAGATAATCTCCTTGACGAAGCTTGGAAAGAAACGGCCCAGTCAGTCACAGCTGCATACTGTGCTAATGTAAGAGGCATTCTCGAAGCAGAGCCACCGAAACAGTTTGCCAGTCGTTCTGCATCTGCCTGTATGCTCTGTTACGAGCTTTTCCCTCCAATCATGGGTTCTAACTCTAAGCATCACTGTCGGTTTTGCGGTGGCATATTTTGCGGTGACTGCTCTAAGGGAAGGAGTTTGATGCCGGAGAAGTTCCATTTCGCTGATCCCCAACGAGTCTGTGATGTATGCTGCGGTAAACTTGAATCTGTCCAGCCATATTTAATGGACCAAGTAAGTAATGCTGCCCAGGTGCCAAACTATGATCTTACTGACCTTAGTAATTTGAGGTCATGGGTTAATATTCCTTGGGGACAGTCCATGGAACATGAGATATACAAGGCAGCAAATATAGTTCTGGCCTATGAGAAGGTATGAGTTTGAATTTCATGGTGAAATGCGTTTCTAAATTTCTTGTATTTTCTATGAAAACATTACCTCGTGGAGATAATTGGTCAGGTATGTTCCCTAAGGACTGGGAAGTCAAGTGTAGAAGCCATGCTAAGACAAGCGAAGGGCCTTGCAATAATCACTGCTGTGAAAGTTGGAGTTATGGTTACCTACAACATAGGTACAGGTCTCGTGGTTGCTCGAAGAGACGATGGCTCTTGGTCTCCACCGTCTGCTGTTTCTACATTTGGTATAGGTTGGGGCTGCCCAGGTGCCAAACTATGATCTTACTGACCTTAGTAATTTGAGGTCATGGGTTAATATTCCTTGGGGACAGTCCATGGAACATGAGATATACAAGGCAGCAAATATAGTTCTGGCTTATGAGAAGGTATGAGTTTGAAGTTCTTAGTGAAATGTGTTTCTAAATTTCTTGAATTTTCTATGAAAATTTTACCTCGTGGAGATAATTGGTCAGGTATGTTCCCTGAGGACTGGGAAGTCAAGTGTAGAAGCCATGCTAAGACAAGCAAAGGGCCTTGCAATAATCACTGCTGTGAAAGTTGGAGTTATGGTAACCTACAACATAGGTACAGGTCTCGTGGTTGCTCGAAGAGACGATGGCTCTTGGTCTCCACCGTCTGCTGTTTCTACATTTGGTATAGGTTGGGGAGCACAGGTGAATTATTTTATCTGCAACTCCTGTCGGGACGATTTACGACTGCTCTAACAGAAATAGCCAATCCTTGTTTCCACTTTCCCGTTTGATGGAACTGTAAGAATAGTTCTGAAGAGTTGAAATATGTTTCCCTGGCCCCTTGTTTTTGCAGGCTGGCGGGGAGTTGATTGACTTTATCATTGTCTTGAGAACAAGTGAGGCTGTAAAGACATTTAGTGGTAATGTGCATCTTTCAATAGGAGCTGGCCTGAGTGCTGCAGTTGGCGTCAATGGAAGGGCAGTCGAAGCTGATGTTCGAGCCGGTGATGGTGGTTACGCTGCTTGTTACACATACAGCTCCAGTAAAGGTGTTCACATCTCTAGTTTCTTGCATTTGTCTTTATATTTTCATTTTAAGTAGTTTCCTCATAAATCCATTACATTTTTCTTCATATCTGTAGTTTCTTGCATTTTCTTTATACCGCAAATTTCATCAATCCATTGCAATTGCAGGTGCATTTGTTGGATGTTCACTTGAAGGTAGTATTGTAACCACCCGCACACAGGTGAACTCTCGATTTTATGGCAGCCAGTCGATAACTGCAGCAGATGTACTTCGTGGCTCGCTGCCCAGACCACGTGCTGCTGCTACTCTCTATTGTGCTCTTGCATATCTATATCGGAAGATCGAGCGGTGACAAAGCTGAGTACATTCCCTGATTGCTTGGTAAAACTTACCCATGATCAGGGGAAATGAATCTTTCAAGTTTGTATATTCTGCACATATTCTTCTATTTGTAAAATCACACATTTTGGAAGAAGACTTGTTTTTGCAGAAAGGTAAGATGGTATTTCTGGAAGAATACTTGTTTTGTTCCCAAAGACAGATAAAGATGGTATTTCGCGTTATATATTAGGAGTACATCTCAATCTAATAAGGCTAAAAGTCACTTTTGGTCCCTGTAGTTTAGCACTTCAACCACTTTTGACCCTGTAGTTTCAATTCCGTCAATTTTGACCATGTAGTTTCATATTTGTAGCAATTCAAGGACAAGTTAATATTCCTGTCAATTTCTTTGACGGTGCAAGGGGTAATTTCGTCAACTCAAAATCCTTGAGCATAAAAGCTCATATGAAACTCCCCTAATTTCATATTAGGACTTGAAATTGGTCATTTGGGTTTAGGGTTCTTCAAAAATTGGGCAAAGCTGAGTACATTCCCTGATTGCTTGGTAAAACTTACCCATGATCAGGGGAAATGAATCTTTCAAGTTTGTATATTCTGCACATATTCTTCTATTTGTAAAATCACACATTTTGGAAGAAGACTTGTTTTTGCAGAAAGGTAAAGATGGTATTTCTGGAAGAATACTTGTTTTGTTCCCAAAGACAGATAAAGATGGTATTTCGCGTTATATATTAGGAGTACATCTCAATCTAATAAGGCTAAAAGTCACTTTTGGTCCCTGTAGTTTAGCACTTCAACCACTTTTGACCCTGTAGTTTCAATTCCGTCAATTTTGACCATGTAGTTTCATATTTGTAGCAATTCAAGGACAAGTTAATATTCCTGTCAATTTCTTTGACGGTGCAAGGGGTAATTTCGTCAACTCAAAATCCTTGAGCATAAAAGCTCATATGAAACTCCCCTAATTTCATATTAGGACTTGAAATTGGTCATTTGGGTTTAGGGTTCTTCAAAAATTGGGATTAGTGGTTGAATTTCAAGCCCTAATATGAAATGGGGAGAATTTCAGACAAGCTTTTACGCTAAAGGATTTTGGGTTGACGAAATTGCCCCTTGCATCGTTAAAGAAATTGATAAGAATGCTAACATGTCCTTGAATTGCTACAAATACGAAACTACAATGGCAAAATTGACGGAATTGAAACTACAGGGTCAAAAGTGATTGAAGTGCCAAACTACAGGGACAAAAAGTGACTTTTGGCCATCTAATAAAGGGCTTGTCTTCTTACAATTCATACTTTTATAAAATGCAATTTTAAGTAATAAAATGGCAGGCATGTTAACCAAACATGCTATTGAGCTGAAGAGGTCAGAACTTGTAGGCAATGAGTTAGTCTTCACATCCAAAATCAGACTCAATCACAAATCCCAAACAAACAAACAAACATACCAAGATCATATATGAATCCTTCCAATGTTATGTGGAGAAAAAAAAATGACAAAGAAGAATAAAATGGAAGAATGAATTTAACAGAAGGGGCAAAACACCACCATGAACTATTTATAATTTAATTTTTAGTGCTCTTTTGTTAAGGAAAAAATAAAAGTAGAAAAAAGAAAAAGAAAAAGAAAACAGCTGCTCCTACTCACTGTACTTCTAACTGACCCACTAAAACACCCTGGGACATGAAGTGGAACTTGGCATGAAGAGAAGGAAGAACCTGCATCAAGAGACCCATAAACAGTTCTCTCCCAATTCATTCTCTCATCTGCAGCACCAACACAAAGTCCTTAACAAACAAAACCAGTAAAGTTGAGGAACTCTCGAAACAGTTGGATCCATTCGCCCACGAATTTGAATCCAACTTACCTGGTTCTAGCGCTTCCAAGAGTTAGTTCGAGATCATCTGATACACATTCCTCAATCCTTTCACCTTCCCATGGTTTCACTAATCCTGATGTGTTACTGCCAAATGCAAACTCAGCTGCCATTCCATCTGACATTGGAACATCTCCACTGTGATCAACACTTGCAGCAACTACTGGCGAACATGTTCCACTTTGCCCCGGAGTCCACATCCGAGACCCTCCACCCGACAAAGCCTCCTTCAAATTGAAAGGGTTTCTCGAGACAAGGCTGAATGTGGGGGATGACGGGCCACTCTGGGGAATTTGCAGTCCAGCAAGCCATCCTGAATCAGGCAGAACCTGGCGACCGGGGCTTGGTGGGGTGGATGAAGGCAGGAAAGGATAATTCTGCCCTGCCCAGTTTGAGCCAGCCACTGCTTCATCCCAGTCACTTTTGGTTCGAGGAGTTCGGGAAGTTGGGGAGCTCAGTGGTGGGGTGACTGGAGCACTTATGGAACCCCCTTGAATGAAGAGTTGGGGAAGCTTGGATGTAGCAGATGATGAACCTGATGAGAGGGTTTTAAGCCATGGGATGAGAGAATTGGCATCAGCATTGCCGTTTGCATTTGCAGGGTAGCGAGCTGGACTTGGAAATGAAGAAGAGGCAGGACTTGGATTGTAGGATTGACATGGACTTGGCTGGTATGAAGAGCATGGACTTGCTGATGTAGATCCTCCCATTATGTCCATGCGATCCACAGGTTTGCATCCCTGCAACAATGAACATATAACCTATTGTGAGACAAAATTATACAAATATTCATCAAAAGTCTGAGATTCTGAATTTGTTTTCACTTCACTTGAGGAAAATCTTAAAGCCTAACCACATGAAAAATGGTGTTGCAAAGATCCTAAGTACTTCAAAGTGTAACAAATGCCGAAACACGCAATTTCCTAGTAGACTGAGAATTGTTACTCTATTTCATCGCTAACAGAAGGAAGCAAGCCAGAGTAAGTTCATTGTTTTCCTCAGACCTTAGTTGATTAAAGCTGAAAATTTGTCCTTGATTGATTATGCTTTGCTGCAATGTTTTCTTTTCTCTACCAATAGATGAAAACATAGGCTTCTTTTTTATATATATAAAAAAGAAGCCTCATTAACTAAAAGATATATTTCTCCCAAAACACAACCTGCCTACATAAAATTAGGCTACCCTTAATAGTGGCAAAAATGTAATTGACTAATTGCACTCAGATTCAGATAAAGACTGAATTAAGAGAGACAATAATGTCAAACAGCGGCTGCACATTAGTTGTTACGCGGCCCCTCCACAACACGCCATCGCCCAACATGTTCCCCCCTCGTCACAATCCAAAGCCACACACACGCTTTGCCGCCTTAAAGATTGCAATTACAATTTTAACCAAAAAAAGGAATCCAAGGATTTCCAACAAGAAATCATCCTTTCCTCTCATAAACCTCTTTTGGTTGGGCTGCCCCCTATATCTATTTTAATCACCAAGCAAAATTAACACTTTTCAAATAAAAAATTAATTCTAAATTAAAAAGCCTAATTATTATTAATTATAATAAAACCCAAAATTAAAAAAAGAGTAAAACACCGGCCCACAAACCATCATATGCCATTTTCTCAATCTAACGGGAAAGTACTGCGATTGCCCCGCAAATCTCGGAAACAGGCCATACAATTCCAGAAAAGAAAAAAACAAATAAATAAATAAATAAAAGTCCTTGGTCGTTGTACCCATTTAGTGTCGAAAGACCAAATTGCCCTCGTTGTCTCACAACGGGTTAGGGCGGGTGAAGTGGCAGTTTCGGGAATGACGAAACACAGACACAGTATGTCTTTGAGCAGCGAAAAGAAGAAAAAGAAAGCAGAGAGATAAAGAAAAGGTTTTCACTTTCACGCAAATTTAGCCACGAGCTCAGAAATCGGAAGCAGATAGCAAAAACAGTCAACAGACTTATAAAAGAGAGAGAGAACATTCGGTCGTATTAAAGCCAAGTGAAAGTTGGAGGTGGGAAGAATCCCAAATGACGAAAATACCCTCAACAAAGACCCGAATGAGAGTCTCATTTCGCTAATCTAGCGGGGGTATTTTGGTCACACGAGAAAGGCTTGCAGGTCTCTGAGTATTGCGTTCATCGTTTTCATATAAAAGAATCGAACGAATCTCTAAGAGCCTCGTGCTTCGTGCGACTCTCTCGACATTAACGATCTAACGTACGCCGTTAGCTGAGATAATTAAACTCAGAAATTAAGCAAGTAAAACAATCACCAGATTCAATCTGAACCATCGATCACACCGATCGGCGCCAGACTGATTACAACATCCGCTGCTTAATTAAGCTACCTTAAGCAAGAGTTTCAAAAAGCACAAAAGAAAAATCGGATCGGAAGTGGTGTTTTCAAACGCCACGGCGCATTTTAATATTACCGCAAGCGAATTGAGCAAAAATGGCTTTGAGAATTTGAGAGAGAGAGAGAGAGAGCAAGGATGAAGGAACTATATATACCTTTCGGTAAGTGGTGCCGTCTTCTTCGACGGTCCAACCAGCTTCGTTGCAGAGAGCTTTGAGGACTTCGTTGTTGTCGCAGTGCTTCGGTAGCTTGTAGTTTCCGTACATCCTCAGGCCCGAGTAGATCTTCGCGGCGATGGCTCTGCGCCTCCTCTCTCTCTTCTTGTTGTTCTCTCTCTCCTTCCACGTCGGCATTCTCGTTCCCGACGTCATCATTCGGTGGCGATTCTGGTTTTCTCGGGAGCCAAACGGATTGACCCGAACAGGGTGTGACGACCGGTGGCGCGAACCGGCCGGCGAACCGGGAATTGGCGGTTTCTGTTTGGAGAATGGTTTTTAATAATAAAGAGACAGGGAGAGACAGAGAGAGATTGGGGGGGGTTTTGGGGGAGGGTGAGAGCTAAATACAACGGGAGAATGTAATTGCCATTGTTGATTTGGTAAATTACGAGAGTGGCAGTCTCTTCTTTTTATTTGTTTTTGTTGGCTCTGACTCCGGAATCACGGGCCTTAACACGTGTTTAGGCTTTTTGAAAAGGGCGGGGTGGTCCTTCGCGGCAGCTACTTGCGACCAGGTAATCTACAACACTAGGATAAAACGGTGTCGTTTTGAATATTTTTTTTATAGGACTTGATAATAATTGCTTCTTGATCCAGTATTTTACCCCCTGCCAGCAAAACCAGCACAAGAGACTATGGGTTAAGGAGAATGGTGGGTAAAATGGGAAATTGGGTATGTAAAGGGAAGGGGGATAAGGTTATGATTAGGCTTGTCGTGATAATGGTATTTGTGGACCATCATATTTTTTTTTTCAAACGGTCGCATTCACTTGACCAGGTTGCCTAATTTTGACAAATCCCCCTTGACCTTAATCTTTTTTGGGTCATGCTAATTGGAGTGTTGGACTAGGCTTCTGATTCAACTAATACCAAATTAGATTAGAGATTAAGCATAGTTTAGTTGTGCTATGCGCCATTGTCTAATGCTTGAAAATATCCAAATTTAACTTCTTCCTTCTCATTAATTTTAATAAATAATATATTTGTCTGCATGTACCGACTAAAACTATTAATTTAGTGATATTTTTCGTTTTCTCATTAATAAAATTTGTCTAGTTGCTCGTAAACGATATCTAACTATTAATTCACTCATGATTGCCTACTATGTATTCACACAACAATACACCAAATTAATGAAATTGGTTATGTGCTTTAATTAGGCTAGGAGTAGTGCGGCTAATTGTAATACTATAAGCTAGGTGAGAGGTCTAGGTGTAATGAAAAAGTCAAACATGAGAAGGATTGGATTGGATTGGAGGAGGGAGTGGACTATGGGACCCAGAGTTGTGATTGCTGGTTTAGGGGTAAGGGGAGACGTGGGGGCCAGGTAAAGGAGCGGCGGGGCCTGATTGCATGCCGGCGTGCGGTTGCGGTGGCCACAACACAGCGTGGGGTTGTCTCAGGTAGCTGTTGCTACTGCTGCCACTTTTGTCTTTTGTCAGTGTGTGTGATGTGTGTGATGCGTGAGTGTGAGTTTGTTTCTGTGTGTTGGTTGGTACTTGGCCTTTGGCGCACTCTCTCTCTCCCTCCTCTTCTTCTCCTTTAGTTCCTTTAGTTTTGTGGAACGGGATATCACTGTTTCGCTATCTTCAATTAATCATGGTACGTTAAGTGAAGAAATTATCACGCGTGACGTATTATAACTTACCATAAATAATAAAACAGTGTTATTTCCGTTCCCCAGAAGTGTGTTGTTCTAATGTACTGTAGACTGACTGAGTCTTTTCTTGTTGGTTTGAGATCACGTGACTAATGCTGGCGCTGGTTATCTATTTTTTGCGTGAGTGGACTGATGGATCCAATATAACTACTGATAATAAGGGACTGACATCATTGACATCCAGGTGGTAGTGAAGGCTTTTTGCTCGCAGAGAAGGGGTGGGCTTTTGAGGTGGGGCCCATATGTATCTCCTGCTATGCGCCACCTTCCAAATTTGCTTCTCTCTCATTGATGGAATTGGCAATGTACCCTCCTCCTCCTCACCGTCTCTGTCTTTTTGCCCTGTGCTCCCTTTTTTATGCAATGGTTCATTTCCTATTTCTTCAGTGTGGGCCCCAGGTGGTTTCTGCCCGCTTTGTAACTCAGGTGTGCTTCATGAACTCGTAGATATTCAATACTTTATTGTTACATAAGTCCTTACCTCATCACAGATATATATGAATGCTTGCATTCACAATCGTACAAGTCTTATCAAAGATTATTTATCACACAATTTGTGTTGTGAGTCATAATGGTTTGATTGCTAATATATCAACTCATTCCTCACTTCATAACAAAACTTACACAAGATGAGTTTAGTCTCAATTAATCAGTAGCATTCGTGGAGCTTTCAGGCTCGATCATTAGTATATGGATTGTTGTGTGTGTGCTACTTATAGATGATATATTGTTAACGAGAAAAATAATATATTGGGTTCGTAGCTCTATATTTATTATATAGTGAGTTCTTAATTATTAAGCTTGAATCCACTCCTACCACTGTTTTATGTTATCCCCGTTGTAGTTGTGCATATTAAATAGTGAGGAAGACTTTGCAGTACTTCACAATTTAGTGTCTTATGTTCTTTATAGATTTGTGTATTATTGGAACTTATAGCATTATTCTTTATTTTATTGGGCTTGAAGTAGGGATGATAATGGGTCGAATCGGGGGTAGGTATTTCATTCTCATCCCCATCCCCGTTAAGCTTTTTTCCCCTATTTTCGCCTTCATACTTGCAATATTTATATTGGGGATTCCCCATCCACACCTCCGTTGGGAAATGAGTTAAAAAATCAATGTAAAACTACTGTTTGTACCATACCTGACCCTCCACTCGTACAACGACACGTGGATCTCATAAACTCGCCCAAGCACCCAAGGCCTCAGACAATCGCCATAGGCTACTGATGATATTGTCTCAAAGCAGCAAAAGATCATTACAAGCCCAACACAGCCTACAATCGGTATCCCCTACCGATTCTGCAGAATCAACCTCGAAGTGCCCGCCCAAAATATCTAAAGACTCGTGTCGACCTCAGAAGGCCCTCCCACGAGTCCCACATCGAAAATGAGTACTAAGAGCATACTAAATGTCCTCTATAAATAGGCCCCTTCCACTACAATACAGGGGTAAGACTTTTAAGCTTGACTTTCCCCTATTTTCGCCTTCATACTTGCAATATTTATATTGGGGATTCCCCATCCACACCTCCGTTGGGAAATGAGTTAAAAAATCAATGTAAAACTACTTTGTTGAAAGAAAAAAAAAAATTTGAACCAAGCCAAGATAATTAGTATATATAAGACAATATAAGAATGTTTACATAGTAACTGGAAGTTAACTAAATATATAAGTAGTGTGGCTTAAGATTCGTATAAATTATATAAATATAAAATATAAAACTTGGTCGGCACAATCGCGTTAATAGCATATTTATATATACTATGATATATATTCTAAACAGGGAGAGTTCAAATCGGGGATTAAAATATCATCCCCGCCTCTCCCCAAACATCATACTAAAAAAATATCATGTACCTGTCCCATACTCGTTTTTTTTCTTTCATACCCGACCCCATGAAGGTCGAATTCTTTATTTATGGGGAAAATTGTCATCCCTAGCTTGAAGAGAAGCATGTTTCAGTGAAATTTAGGATATTAGGATTTGATGTGATTTTTATGTTGCAATTTTAATAAATTGTAAGGTGAGACAAGCACGCTGCAAATTACAATATCTTATAAGATAAGATATTATTATTGAAAGATTGTGAGCAAGTAAGCCCCCCACATATTTAATAACACGACGGGTCGTCCATCGCCCCAAAATTCAACCAACTACACGTGCGCCGCGGACTCAACCAGCGTATCAAACCCGATTGGAGGCCGTGGCATTGGGTCCGCCACTGATTTGAATTTGATTATTTTTCGTTTCTTTTTTTTAATTGACAAGTGTACAAGAGGAGGAGAGAGTCGCTTTTGTGTAATGCTGCTGCTGCCCCATGGTGCGTGGCACCGATTGTGGATTTGTGGGATATGATATGGTATGGTATAGTGGAGGTGGTGGTGGGGACCACCGTCCTATATATAACGTTAATCATGTCCCTCCCATCGGTGGGGCCACGTGATGCCCGATATGCTCGCCACCCACGAGGCACTGGACACACTGTTTCATTTCTTCAATTTCAGCTCTCCGTAATCCTCTTTATTAGTACACTCTTTTGCTTTATGCTATGTATTCTAACTTGGATTTTACTAAGCTGAAAGTTACAAAATCGTGAGTGATTTCTGATCGTTAATGAGATACAAGCTCTAAGAACATTAAAAAATTATATAAATTGACTTTTTTCGGTTGTTATTTTATTATTTTATTAATATGACTATCAAATCTAGAGTTACACGCGCAAATTATGAAACATTCTTGGATTTTACTAAGCTGAAAGTTACAAAACCGTGAGTGATTTCTGATCGTTAATGAGATACAAGCTCTAAGTACATTACAAAATTATATAAATTAATTTTTTTCGGTTGTTATTTTATTATTTTATTAATATGACTATCAAATCTAGAGTTACACACGCGCAAATTATGAAACATAAATTATTTAAACATCCGAAATAACTTGGATATTGAGTCAAGAACATAAGAAGAAAACTAGGTGAAATGTTACATCTTCTGACGTACTCTATATGCCTAAATTTCTTTTTGACGTATTGAGAAAAGGCGAGTTTTTGCATTTGCATATTCCATATTTACTTTGCATGGTCTTACATTTTAACATGTGCCCTGAATAATTAGCGAAAAAAGAAACAAGTATCAAAATTGTGTAATTAAGAATAAATTGTAAGGGATGTGTAGCTCCGTTGGTTAAGAACATTTAACTTTACGGGGTTCTATCCCCTTCTTCGCTTGTATAAAAAAGAAATAATAATAATTTGCCTTCTCAAAATGAGTGTAAGATATTATTCTGCGCGGGAAACTGGTGATTACTTACTGGTCCATTGGCTCTGCCTAATTTTTCTTGGATGTTCTTAAGCCCAAGTCCCAACCATTAAGCCATAGGTGGGCTGGAATTTTGTCCAAGTCAAACCGCATTTCTGGGCCATATTTTGTCCAAGTCATATAATCTTGAGAAATTTGTGTAAAGTAGTTGCATTTTAGAATTTTAAACACTCTCCATAGGTTCTAAATCAATGAAGTTGATTGAGCCTGCGGAACAAAAGAGAACTATCAGAGGTGTCCAACCTGTATCCAACCAGGGTCACGCTTAGCTTTAAACTATAATTGCTCCTAAATTAGGTATAATTAGGTCGATCGAGTAGCTCGATTATGCAAATCTTTGGATTAGACATCGTCATTTTTGTATTCTTAAACTCCTGAAAGTCAAAGTGACCACTAATCCCCGTGCGATTAGAGAGGGACAAACTATACTTTAAAATTAAATCACGAAATTCTCTATGTTTTATAGGACACATCGTCAATTATTTCCCCATAAATACAAAAATATCACCTACCCTAAAGTCGCATTTAAATAAAGTACTTATCCAACAAAACGTGTTGCGGCTTAAAGCGATATCGTCAAACCACGTGTACGGTATACGTTTCAAGATGCTTACCTTTCCTTTAAAAAACCGCCTCCCTTGGTGCTTTTCATTAAACAAACACGGCCTTACGCATCTCCAATTGGTTGCGGATCCCTTGAATATTAGCGCCACCAAAGCATACACGTCACCGCACCTTACCCAGGCATAAACGACAACAGAAACAATGTCGTCTCCAAGTCCAATAGTCCATTTCAGCTTGAAGGCTAAAGCTAACCTAATCCGAATATTCGAAATAATTAAAAAGGGGAAGGAAAAAAAAAAAAGCTAATGCCTTAGTTATTTATATTTTATTGTATTTTTTCTTTATGGAATAATATAAAATTCCGTGGGAAATAAAATTCTTTACGCGTTTCGAGAACCAGGATCCCAAAATATTCGAAAATTCAGAAGCGAAAACGAATCGTTTTGGGGTTTCAGGGTCGTCGACTCGTGACCTTTGCTTGCGAAGCCAATCAGCCGTCTCTTCTCTGCAACTTCTCTAGTTCCTGTCCCTTTCTATTCTTATCAATTTCTTGTTGCTTTTGCTCCAAGCTTTCTGTTTCTCTCTCTCTGTTTTTTTCTTTTTTTCTTCTTTGGTTTTCAAAATTTCTGACTTTGAAATGGGGAACTGAATTGTAGTATGTGCAACTGTTGCAACGAGCAAACGACTCGTCAAAAATGCGACTTTTGTTTTCTCGAACTTCTCCAACTAAAAACAAATATGTGATTTTTTTGGGGTATAATATTTGCGGTAACCGCCAATTGTTGTGTGTCTAGGACTTCGTTTATTACGGTAGGTTTGGGGTACACGCTTAGTTGAAATTATCAAGGGATTTATGGTCAATTGCTTTCCATTTCCTTTGGGTTTTGACTGAACCCAGACTTCTGCCCATCAGCTAATTAATTACAGTTTTCCAGTCTTCCATTGGTTTATTTTTATTTTTATTAATTTGGTTCAATTTCAAAACCCCAGTGGAAAATCAATGCGTTTTCAATTGGGTTCCCCTAATTCCTTGGAAAGTTAAGGCCTTCACAGGTGGGAATTCAAAGGGTTTTCAAGCGGGATCTTGGGTTCCCTTAATTCCTTGCAAAGTTTCGGTTTTTGGGTTGAAAGAGTGGAAATTTGAGGTTTCTGGATTGAATTCTTGGTCCTGCATATACAGGGGAGCTTGAAGGAGTTTATTTGCCTGTGATTTTGGAGTTTTGAGAAGTGGTTGATGATTTAATACTGGGTTTCGGATTTGGGTTGGTGATTTTGGGGGATTGATCAGGATGGATGAAGTTCAAGGTGGCGCCAGCTCGTTGCCGCCTTTCCTTTCCAAGACCTATGATATGGTGGATGATGCTTCAACCGATTCAATTGTGTCTTGGAGTGCCAGTAATAAGAGCTTTATTGTTTGGAACCCGCCGGAGTTTGCCAGAGATTTGCTGCCAAAGTTCTTCAAGCACAACAACTTCTCTAGCTTCATCAGGCAGCTCAATACATACGTAAGTCAATCAAGTTTCTACTTTCATTCAGCGTCAGTTGTTTTTACATTGGTATTTATCATATCTTTATAGTTTTTTAGTTCCTTAATTTGATTTAAATGCTTACAATAGGGTTTTAGAAAAATTGATCCGGAACAATGGGAATTTGCCAACGACGATTTTATCAGAGGTCAGCCACACCTCATGAAGAATATCCATAGACGAAAGCCGGTTCATAGTCACTCTTTGCAGAATCTCCAAGTCCAAGGGAATGGGACTTCCTTATCCGAATCTGAAAGGCAGAGTATGAAGGATGAAATCGAGAGGCTTAAACATGAGAAAGAACGCCTTGGTGTGGAATTACAGCGGCATGAGCAGGAGCGGCAGGGATTGGAGTTGCAAATGCAGTTCTTGAAGGAACGTTTGCAACACATGGAAAGGCAGCAGCAAACCATGGCCGGTTTCATGGCCCGGGTTTTGCAAAAACCGGGGATTGCCTCCAATCCTGTTCCGCAATTGGAAATCCATGGGCGAAAGAGAAGGTTGCCAAGAATCGGTTGGTCTTATGATGAAGCGAGCAATGGAAATAATCAGGTGGCAGGTTCACAAGCTGGTATTAGAGAAAATGCAGATATGGAAAAGTTGGAGCAGTTGGAGTCATTCCTAACATTTTGGGAAGATACCATTTTTGATGTTGGAGAGACTCATATTCAGGTTGTTTCAAACGTAGAGTTGGATGAGTCTACAAGTTGTGTCGAAAGCGCAGCTATATCTTCAATACAACTTAATGTTGACGCTCAGCCTAAATCCCCGGGAATTGACATGAATTCTGAACCTGCTGTAGTTGTTGCTCCTGAGCCTGCTGCAGCTGTACCTCCTGAGCCTGCTTCCTCAAAACAACAATCCTCAAAAGAACAAACATCTGGAATCACTGCTTCCGCGCCAACTGGGGTGAATGACGTATTCTGGGAACACTTCTTGACAGAGAATCCTGGTTCAGTGGAAGCTCAGGAAGTTCAGTTGGAAAAAAGGGATTCTGATGGTAGAAAGAACGAAAGCAAACCTGGTGATCATGGCAAGTTGTGGTGGAATATGAGGAATGTAAATAACCTTACAGAACAAATGGGGCATCTTACTCCAGTAGAGAAAACGTGATACTAGTTATTTTATTTGGGATTTTGATGCCCAGTGGCTCACATGTTATATGCTCTTAGGCATAAATATTTTGTTCTGGTTATAAATAGATCTTCTATGTTTGAGTTCATCTTTCCCTTGATTCCATCTTTACTTCAATCTTGTTTCTTAGTATATGCTGATTACTATTCTTATACCTTGAAAATCAAATAATAACATTTCATTGCTTTTTTTTTTTGGGTCTAAAACCCACATGCTTTTCCTTTTAATCTCATCCTCCTTTACTACACTAGGGCTTTGTTTACTGGGGCAATGAGTTAATGCAAGGTCTGGCAGCTTGCACAATTTGCTTGAATTTGGAATGTTACAGAACTTGCATACTGTTAACCAGTTGCTCCAGGTCCTCTATTCGGCAAAGGCTCCATGGTCCACCTGACTATTTGTGGAAAATTATTTAATTCCGAACTCATATATTTCTCATATATTTCATGGTTTTATTTTTGCACCCTTTTGCGTTCCTTATTTTGGTAAAGTCTTGACTCTTGTGGTTATAGGTTCCTCTCAATCAAGTGACATTTTACTATTGATTTGATCGTCTGTATGGATTTTTGTGGGTTCAAAGATTGAAACTGAGTTTACCACCTTAACTATTTCCACACATTTGTGCATCTTGTACACATTGTAATCCTGCATTGTCATCGGTTGCTAAACTTCACAAATTTGAAGCTATAAGATCAAAGCTAGAAGTGCAGAGTTCATGCATTTAGAAACATAACAGTTATATCTACTGCATTACAATTTGATTACAAGTTTGGCTATAATTAGCTAAAGAGAAATCAGTCACTGCTACATTGTTCGTTCTGTCATTCAGTACTGAAACTGGCCTGATTCAAGTCGAACCATACCTGCCGGAATACCTTGACAATGAGATCATGGTATTCATCAGAATTCAGGGTCAGATAACAAGCTAAGAGCTCTTCCAGATCCTCTGGCTGTGCTATCTTTTTCTCCACAATCATCTCAACCATGGAATCTCTGAAGTCCTGTTGTGGGTCAAATGAGCACTTTACCACTGCAAAGCTATTCAAGCCTGTTCTTACCTGCTGCACTGCTCCCTCCTTAGCCACCCTTTTCATCTTCATTTTCGCTTTCGTCATGTTTTCAAGAGCTTTAATTTTACAGATTTCAACCCTCGAAGCTGTTCTTGGAGAACAAACTCTGACTTTGCTACTCCGTTTTGTTCTTCTCCTCTGTAATTCCCTGCTTATGTAGAGAGATTTCCTATGTTTCTCACTCTTTGACTTCACCTCTTGTATTTTCCTATCTTTCAATTTTTGCCAATCTGAAGTCTGTTTTTCATCAGAAGGCTCTTCAGTCTCCAAGTTCAAGGCTTCTTCTTCAATTGGTTTTAGACTTGAATTTCTTGAATTCAGTGAAGATACATACTGATGTTTTCTTGCATCAGTCTCAGTTGCCCAAACTTTTCTTGCCGCTAACATTTCCACCTCATCACTTTCTACTGTTTTTGTTGATCTCTCTTCTGCTTTATCTGCATCTCTTTCTAATTTCAACAACTTCTTTCCCTCAAGTTCTCTGTTTTCCTTCCTCAATTTCCACTCTTTAGCATTCCCACTTTTCTGCATGCCCTTCAACTTCTGGGACAAATGTCTTCCCTTCACTATTCTATCACTTGTTTGACAGCTTCCACAACTGGAGGGCTGAACTTCAAACTCATCATCTGAATCAAACCAAACCGATCTCAAAACCCCTCTGTTTTTCTTCCCTTCAGCACTATCTTCACCAAAAGACAGTCTCCAAAACGCATCATCATCATCATCAACTACACCATAGAATCTTCCACCACCCTTAGCAGCAGCACACCTTGGTGAACCCAAAGATGGAGAATTCTGCTTCCCTTTTCTACTTACTTTACTGGGTTTTGGTTCTGAATTGCCCCTCTTCTGCTTGAACTTCGAAAGCCATGAAGTGGGAAAGACATGAGAGATCAAGAAAGGCTGAGAAGAAGAAGAAGATGAAGAGGAAATAGGTGGAGGCCTTTTCTTTTTGCTACACCACTTCATAATATGACACTTGACTATCTGAAATTCCCTTGTGTTGGGATGAGGAGAATTGTTCAAGAATTTTGAACTGCTTGCAATTGCAGAGAAGGAAATGGCTTGGAACTGAAAGGAAGATGGATAATGAATGATGAAGTGAGATTCTAGCAGCAGCAACAGCAGAAGCTAGAGGGGCAGTTAGGCTGTTAATAGGAACGTGGGTCGTCTTACTGGTTTTGTGTTGTGTTTTTCAAAAGAAAGGCCCGCCCTAAATCTTGTGACCACTCACGCACTTTTTCCTACTTTTTTGCCTTCTAATTGGAAAAGCTATGTGCCCCATCATTATAGGACCTCTATTACATAGTAGCCCCACAAATTCGAGTAGCTTCTCATTAATAAAAACTGCACCCTCTTCAATCTTCTGTTCTTTTGTACAGAACAAAATCAAGCCAATTCATTAATTGAGACTATGTAGAATGTATGTACAAGGATAGGATGTCTAGGAGTAGCTCACTTTCGTGTCATTGTCTGAGTTTTGAAGCACCTACTAGGCTTTAAGATGGAGGCAAACTGCAAATAATCCGCTAGTGTAGTGGTTTGGAACAAATGCTCTTTCTAGAAGTTTCTGAGTTCGAGTCCTAGAATCTATGTAGTGTATATGAGTTAATTATACTATCGCCCATCTCAATAGAAAACTAACTCAAAATAAAAAGATGGAAGGCAAGCTTCTTCAATTACATAATGAAATGGTCCTTACAATTTATATTTTCAAGTTTTTATGTGTTTTGCTTTGTTTGGAGCACAGATAACAAAGAGGTCTCGGGTATATATAATGGTCCTTTTTGGTCATATTCACTGTTTAGATATAAAATCTGTGTGAGCCCTTTTGCCTTTTCTGCTTTGTCTTTGGTCCTGAATTTTGTGTCTTTCTACTTTGGTCAAAAAGACCAGGATAGTGGGCCAGAGTAGTTGAATGTAAAAGAGCTGTGAAGTAATTGGGTTGGGCTGATCAGAAAGTTGGGGCCTTATAAATTTTCTGCAGAAGCCCAATTTAGATGCAAATGAATTAATTAAGCTACTACAAGGGTAAAGACAGCTTAATTGTGAAATTAGGGGTTTGAAGAAGAATAATTGTTGTATAAGACTAAGGCAGAAAATTAAGTTGCAAATGAGGTGAGATTAAGGCCCAGTTTGGCATTGCTGTGCTGTGAAAATAATCACTGTCAGATTTGCTGTGAGAGAAATCAGCTGTGACAGAAAGCAGTTTGGCGTTTGGTAAACTTTTTGTTAAAAGTGTTGTTGGTATTGATTTTCACATATAATCAGAAAATAATTGCCGCATAATCATTAAACCCAGCGTCTCTTCGAAACTGATTCCTACATAATCAGAAAATGAAAGCATCTCATTAGCTGCTTTCCCTTATAGCTTTCTCTCACAGCAATTTTTAATAATAAGTGATTTTCTCACAGTTTACCAAACGAGCTGAGCTTCCCAAAATTTTTTAAAAATCACTTATCATTCCAAATAAGCAATGTCAAACGGGCACTAAGGCACGACCGGAGGTTGATGGACGTAATCAAGGGTTGATAGAGAGTTTATGAAAAAGATTAAGGGAAATTAACATCAATTACCAGAGAATTTTTTAGAGCACATAATTATATCATAATTATCATGAATTTGGTTCCTTTTTATTTTATTTTAGAAATTCTGGGGTTGCATTCATAATTCAGCCAAAAAAGCCACTAGTCACAAATGGCCAATACAAGCTAGCCACAAAGCGCCATTACAATGACGGAACTAAGATTGCAAACTCAGAACAACTAAAAAGAGATAAAGCTTTAAAAAACCAAGCCATAAAAATACAAATAAAACTCTCACAAAAGCATGAATTTGGTTCCTTTTAAATGTTTGTCTCATGAAAAATGGATTTTTGACAGAAGGGTTCTACAGGTTTTTTAGAAACTTAAACGTTGCAATTGTTAGTCGTTAGCAAAAGGCAGAGTTTAGATTAATGATTAAGTCATATCCAAAGGCTTGCGTGTGAATAAAGGCATCAGAGGAGAAAGGGTCCACTTTCAAAGTTATTCAAATCAAAGGTATGGGGTGTAAAGGGGACATAGCCTCCTAACTGGATGGTGCTCTTCCTCCAGCTCCTGTAAATCTTGCTCATGAAGGAACTAGTTTTGGTCATATGTGCACCAACCTTGATAGGTCATTACAACTTGGTCAAATGCAATCCAGGTTTGAGGTTGTCCTGTCCTGTCTGTTGCTGGACTGGACCCAAAATGAGACAGACTCAACTCAAGAATTGCCTGTCATTGCAAAACAAACATCACACACACAGTTTATGAAGTTGGTTTCTTTCCCTTGACTAATTTACAACCAAAAACCAACCTTTACTTGAAATGGTATATGTGGTTCTAATTTCCAATCTTCCTAAAATGAAATTTACGATGTTACTTTGTTTTGTTACTTCTTCAAATGATAATTTCTGTGTCTGCATTCTTTGGAACACGGTTGTTTTCTTTTCCTTCTCAAACCCTGTTTTTGGTGTCGTTGGAAAAGGAAACTAGGAGAGTGGTTTTGTTTGCGAGGAAAAATCGGTTTGTCCGTTTCTTTTGTCTGGTGGGTGGGAAAATCAGTTCAAGGAATTAATTGCCAATTTGACCCAATATGAAAGAGAATGTGCACCAAACTCACTAATAATAATCAACGAGGGATGCTGTGGTCTATTTGTAATTTAACAGATAAAAATAAAAATCGATCATATGATAGATGACATCTCATTCGCGACTCAAATTTAGTGTATAAATTTGATTTCCGTAGCATTATCCATATTTTACTCCCCTAATCTTCGCATAATGATCTTTGAAGATTTTCTTATTACCGTATAGTATCCTATTAAAATCTCAATCTCCTGACTAGATTAATGCAACATAGATGATATAATTATCACATTGGTTACAACATGATAATTTATATGTACAACTGTCACAAGGATACCTTCCATGAGAATGAGAGCCGCACATTATTATTAAACCTCCTTAAACAAAGCATAAGTATTTAATAAGAATGAGTATGCTCCATGCAAACTGGAAATCTAAAATCTTGTTCACCAAGTAATTCTCCTAAAACACAAAATTCTTCAAATCAAAAGTTTTGATTGCCCATTTTTACATTTTAAACACTTCATCAAATTTTAGCAGTCTTTCTTTGGTATATAGATGTACATTACATCAATATACATATCTTAACTTGTCACCAAATGGCTAAACAGAGCAAAATCCCATGTTGTTTTATTGTTTTTGTTCTGGTGAATCTCATTTTCTGCAATGGGGTTTTGTCTGTGAGGGCTGTGAATGAGTTTATATCAGCCGTCGGCGATTCGGGGATGAGAAGGGACAATCTACGGGTGGCGATAGAGTCATGGAATCAGTGCAATGAGGTTGGAGAAGAAGCTCTTCAGACTGGCAGCCCAAGGGCTGCCGATTGTTTTGACATATACAAAGCTACTCCGCAGCCACAAGGTATGTATAGCTTCTCTTTTTCCTTTTGATCCTTTTTTTTCCTCTTCTAGTTTCTATGCACTTTTTTCTTTCTTTACTTGAAATATATCTAAATTAGAAGATAGAAGAAGCACATGGAAATGCTTTTTGTTATAAAAGCTATGTGATCAATGAAATTTTTATTCCCTCAGCAATCTTAGCGCTAATGTGTTTGAATTTGAGCAAGCAAAAGAAGTGGTTTATGAATCTTATGTTTTTGTTTCTGTTGTATAATTGTTATATAACAGGAGAATTTGGCTTCTGCAATCAGCAGCTGCCCTATGTATTAGTCCACAGAGTCACAGAGCAAGACAACAAGTTAAGGATGGGAGAACCTTTCTTTGGCCTGCAGGCAGAGTCTCAGTTTAACGTAGACCTTTACGCGGCGGAGAAGGAACTGTACCTGGGATTTAAATGCCAAGTCGAAGACACCCCAAATCCATGGCAATTCTGGATGATCATGCTCAAGAGTGGCAACATGGACACTTATGCTGCCAAATGCCCCAAAAATGGTCACCGATTCGGGCCGTTTCCTGATCAAAATACCTTTCCTTGTTTTGGAAAAGGGTGCATGAACCAGCCATCTATTTACCATGACTATACCAAGTTGCAATTGCCTGATATGACTCTAAAGGGACGGTTTTTCGGGTCATGGGATTTGGATGCAGATTTGAGCAGAGGAATGGTTGGGAATATTTCTTACCATTCTGTTACTTGGGAAAAGAAACTTGGAGAGGGAAGCTGGGTTTTCCACCATGTCTTGAGGACTTCAGCAAAGTATCCTTGGCTGATGCTTTACTTGAGATCAGACGCCACACATGGGTTTTCTGGTGGCTACCATTACCCTACAAGAGGGATGTCCAAAATTGTGAGTAACCCTTTTATATAGTTATACAAGTTTTATCTAAGAGAACTTTTGTACTAATCTTCGTTAAGAAAGCAAACTTTTCATAAGTTTTGCTTTTGCTTGGAAGCAAAACTTTCTTGAGGATGAAGATACTTGGTTTACTCAAATATTGCCAATTGCAATGCAGATTCCAGAATCACCCAATTTTAAAGTGAGGTTCACCTTGAATGTGATCAAAGGTGGGGGTCCTAGCAGCCAGTTCTACCTCATGGACATGGGGAGCTGTTGGAAGAACAATGGGAAGCCTTGTGATGGCATTGTGACTTCAGATGTCACCAGATACAGTGAAATGATCATAAATCCAAACACAACCTCATGGTGCCATTCAAACAACCTCAATGTGTGCCCACCTTACCACACATTCCCTAACGGCACATGGGTTCATCGAAATGACACTGCCCACTTCCCTTACGCTGCCTATCACTTGTACTGCTCGCCGGGGAACGGGGAGCATCTAGAGGCTCCTTCTAACTTGTGTGATCCATATAGCAACCCTCAGCCTCAGGAGATTTTGCAAATCTTGCCACACCCGGTTTGGGGTGAGTACGGATACCCTACAAAGCAAGGGGAGGGTTGGATTGGGGATCCAAGAACATGGGAGCTGGATGTTGGGAGGTTGTCACAATCACTTTATTTTTACCAGGTTTGATATTGTTTGCCCTGTGACAGATTAAATTTTGCTACAATATTGCTTGTGACATATACTAAGTTGAGCTATGGTTTGATGTCTTATTTGCAGGATCCAGGAACCCCACCAGCTAGAAGGCAATGGATGTCTATAGATTTAGGGGCTGAAATTTTCAAGGACCCTGATCAAGTTGCTGAATGGACTGTTAGTGATTTTGACATCCTTGTGCCCAAGCAATGAACTCATTTACTGCAGACAAAGACACACTAGCTAGCTTCAGCTTGAAATACAATTAAACTTTTGAGTCGCCTAAAATGGTAAAGTAAGTTATAAGGGACCAACCTTTTTAGCTTTTCTTTTTCTATTCATTTTCCAATCAATTTTTGGAAATTTCATAAATGAAAAAGTTCGATTTTTTTATTTTTTTATTTGAGAAACCCTGAAGGCTGAACTATAATATCTTCATTTTTATTTTCCAGTGTGTGGTGAAGAAAAATGTGAAATGAAACAACATACTTTTGCTTGAAAGTTAATGAGCTTCATAGAGACTTGCTTGGATTGAATTTCTGATCTCTCTCACTATATGTCTTTGGATCTTTCCCTGAGTCATTCTATAATGAGGGCTTTATCTAAAACCATTAGATAAGATCCTATCTCTTAACCGTTGGATTAAACTAACTAATTTGATCTAATAACTAACTAATTTGATCCAACAATTAAGAGATAAAGTCTTATCTAAGGTTCTTAGCCCCACTCATGCCCAACTTCCAAACCCAAGTCCTTTCATAATACCTATCTAGAGCAAACATTTCAGCCCATAACACAATATGGGCTTTCAATAACAGTTCTTTTGGTTCAGTTCCCAGCCACTCTGTTTCATACATATTTTCCTATCCAGTGCTATGTATTTTTCACTGTTGCTTGTGTTATTTATTTATTTAAAATCCGTGAATCAAGGAATCCTGTGTAATTTAATATTAAAAAAAAAAAAAAACCAATGTGCGAAATTCAACAAGCATAACAGCTTTAGATTTATAATGTTCACATGTATATCATGAAGCAAATATGATCGTTACGCTCTCATTAATTTGCGTCATTATAAACATCATTTTTGGTTTCCTAGTTTTCCAAATGCGTTGACTATGAGATTAATGTTTGATCTAAAGAATGTTGGAATATCTCGGGAGTTCTTGTAATTTTTTTTTTTGTACTTCCCCAAAAAAAAAAAATCAACAAGCATGCCTCCTTGATTGCTAGCTAGGCCAAGACTACTATAATTCTAAACGTCTGATTTGGTTTTGGACTAAACCCACATGAGCCAAAGAGAAATCAATCACCCTCATTTATTGTTCTTTCTTGTCTAGAATGTCTTAGATAAAGACCTCCCCCCACCCCATGGTTGCAGTAAAATACACTCTGCGTTTCAGCAACAAATTTCCCAGCACATTCAAAGTCCCCTGTTGCACTTTTTTGTTTATTGTTTGCTGTTTTATTGCCAAGACCAAGACTTTGAACTCTGAGATGGTTCAAAGTCTTCTTTGTTTTCAGCAGGCCTAAGGGACCAACAGCAAGAAAAATTCAGTTGTTTACACTTGGATTATATGCCACTTCAGTGCATGTTTCAGTTTTTATTATTTAAATATTACTCAATAACAGAAGGAAACAAAAACCCTACCTTGTTTCTGTGAGGAATTCTCATTCAACCATCTTATTATCTTTTATTGTGAGGGCACGTCCCATGCATTGGGTAAGTTCGATTGGACAAAAACTTCAACATACATAAATCAAACATTCAAATCGTCTCATATTATAATCAGTGGCGGATCCAGGAAATTTCGTTCCGGGGGTCAATCTGCCTTGTTTGTATTGTGAATAGCTAAGGCCGGCAAAATAGACTTTCTATGAAGAAATAACATTCAACATCTTATAAAAACTTCATTAATTTTAAATCCATTGATCCAAATACAACGTTTAAAACATTTTGTGTTTGAATTCCAACCAAGACTACCTGCCTTGGAGGCAACGTATTGAATTGTGGTTAATATAAACTGAGAGAGTCAAAAAAACAATGGCAACAATAAAAATCAAGACTTTTCTTGCCGGCCAGGTAACAGTCCAAAGTGTCCTAATGAGCAAACCCAGTAAGACGTGCCATGAGGATTGCCTAGTTTTGAGGGTGAATAGAACAGAGGCCCCTGCACGTTGTCCTCCCTCCACACAGACATTGCCAAATGGATGGAGAGGAAGCACTCAAAGTGGTGTCATTATAAGAAAAAGAAAAAAAAGGACAGAAACCACTATGATATCAGTAATACTATTGCCACCCAATACTTTCTCACATTACCGGCCAAGGAGATGGGGCTTGTAATCTTTTCCTTGGAGGGACCCAAGAAAGTTCAAGTTGAGCAACTCTTTAACATCTATACATTTTATTATTTTTTCGTTTAGTGGTCCGGCTTGGATTGAATTGAAGTTCACAAGCAGTTTTATTCTCTAGGTGGAATTTATAAGATAAAATATGTTGAATTGTTGTCCAATTTAATAACTTCAGTCATAATACACTAAACAACGGACCAAGACTCTTGTCCAATTTAATTGAAATAGTTCAATCAAGTACTACCCACCAAACATTTTAGAATCTATAAACGGTGTTTTTCTTTAATATATAAAAGTCAAGAATATTGGGTATAAGCTGTAAGCATTATGGATGTTGTGGTATTATCATTAGCAACCATCATTGCTGCAACTGGTTGAGGATTTGGCCTCAAGATATATAAGCTTCAGCTACCACACAATTTCTCTCATCAGTCTCCAATTATTATTCAAGTAAATGGGATCTTTTGGTGCATCAACTTTGAGTACGTTCCCTTCAACGCCATTACAAAAGCTCTCGATTGCAACAAGATTCTGCTTCAAGTGGAATTTTCCAACAGACTTTAGTGGTTGCCTAAAGCCAGCCAAACATATTCTTAAAAAGAAAGGTTAAACAAGAGGCCAAAGAAATGAAATCTTTCAAGATTTATCCCTCTCAAGGTGCTCCAATCAATTCAATGAAAACGATCATAGCATTTTGCCACTGTTATCCCACTTTCTACCTTAAGGAAAAAAGAAAAAATGCACAAACAATAGCAGCATTGTGATGTGACTCTGCTGTCTGACCTGCTTCGCCGATAAGAATCTAATGGATGAAACTAGTTGGGTCATCACCTTACCAAACTTAGCTTTTGGTCAATCAAACAATTGAATGAAGGAAGAAAATTGTGTCCCATCTTACATCATTCACAAATATACAACTAGTTTTAGTCTCCAGAAAGAAAGTTCCCGATGTGGAAATGCCTCATACCTTTGCTCAGTCTTTCACTAACTAAATTCTTGAGACTTTTAAGAACTACGTTGCCTAGGTCTTGCAAATATAAATCACAAGGTAACACTATTGAATATTCAAACGCATAAGACTTGTTAAAAGATCAAATTTTTGTTTTCTGATTCAATATCATAATGTGAAGATGAACTCAATTAGACAGTTACTAGTGCCAATAACAGTATGAGATCCACTCTTACCAAAGTGAAGCTAAAAATGGAAAGCCCAACTGTTCAGCCAATTATTGCAAAACTAGTTCATTTAACATTATTTTTTCTGTCAATAGGTGTTTATAAAACATTCACTTGTGTATTTTTATGGCTGAAATTGGAATACTTATAGATCAGGCAAAAGCACTGTTGAGCAGCACAAATATAAGTAGTCACTTTATAGCATCAAATTCGGAAGCATTAACACGATTTCAAGGGATTCAAGGTCTGAGACCTTATATGGTTATGCAAGGTTACAAGGATTTCCAAGAATTCACTTAAACAACTTTAGTAGTATTCTTCGATAAGGATTTCAGCGGCCAGTCATTATATCAGTTAACAAAATGTCACAGCTATACAAATTTCTGCATTTGAATCATATTTTTATGAAACCAATAAGCCAATTGAGAAACAGCCCCTGAAACTGCAGTTTCTCAATGTATCTGTAATGGTCTTGACATTGTTGTGAACACTTTCTGTCGTGGTCTTCCAAACCATTGGACATTACATGTATGCTAAACTTACACTAGAAGCTCGACAACACAAAATATTCTCTTAAAGCACATTTAGATAAGATATTCCTGTAACTTCTTTATGACCTCCAATTTCAATGAAAGAATGTGTAACTATTTCCAACAAAAATGGGAACATATAAGCAAGGAAGATTATAAATCTAGAGTGGATGTTAAAACTATAAAACAGGCACTGAAATGGACACTGGCACAGCAACATCACCGGCGAAACTCGAATCCCTATTTGCAGCTGAGTTACCTGCAAATGCATATCCTACACCAAGACCACCAAAATGCATTGCTGCAGCATTCTCACACCTTTGGAACACTCTAGCAAGAGATGCTGCCTTTCTTCTTGCCCGCTTTGTACCAGTAAAAAGCAATGTCTGCAGCAACCCAGCCAAAGCTGGTGCCTTAACTACCCTCTCAGTGGCAGCAGCTCCACCACTCCGGCACAACTCAAGCAAAGCTGCAACTGCATTTTCTTTACCCCTTGGAGTCCCACAACGCATCATCCCTATCAAACCTGCCACTACCGTGTCCTCTTTCCCCACTGCTTTAGCCCCAATCGGCTGCCTAACAACCAAGGCCAATGCACCAGCTGCTTCCTCAGCAACTCCTTCATTTCCCAATGCGCTTACAAGTGCTGTCACAGCCCCTGCCTCAATCATTCTCGCACAATTTTCTGTGTGAGTTGACAGGTTAAACAAAGCTGTCACAGCATCCTTCTTTCCTCTTGGGGTACCCTCTCTCAACAGCCCTGCCAAGGCTTCAATTGCTCCTTCCTCATCTGCTATTCTCTTCTTATAGTCATGAACTGCAGATAGACTAAACAAAGTTGCTGCAGCATTCTCCCTTGCCTCAGTTGTGTGCCCAAACCTCAGAACATCAACAATGGATCCCAAACACCCTTCATCCATAATCCGGCTTTTGTTCTTATCATATATCGATAAGTTGAGCATTGCAGTTACAGAATTCTCTTGGGCAACAGAGTTTGGAGATGATAGTAACTTACATAGATGGGGAATCGCCCCAGCTTCCGCAATGAAAGCACGATTTTCTCTTCCTGTTTTGGCCAACAAACGAATCTCACGAGCAGCTATAGTTTGTGCACATGGTGATCCATCTTCCAGCCGTTGGATTAGAAGCCCTGCGGTTGCTTTGTTGGCAGCAAGTGCAGCCTTAGAGGGAGAAGCAGCTGCAAAGCTTTCTGCAGAAGCTTCTGTGCACTCTGGAGGGTCATAAGGAATTCCATAAGCAGTGCACCACTGCATTATCA